GGCAGGGCAGGGCGCGCGGCTGCTTGCAGTGCGCTGGCAGGGCAGGGCCGGCGGCGGGCGGCGCGCGGGCAGGGCAGGGCGCGCGGCGGCGGCGCGCGGGCAGGGCAGGGCGCTCAGCGGCGCGCGGCGCGCGGGCAGGGCAGGGCGTGCAGCGGCGGCAGCACGCAGGCAGGGCGACGCGGCGCGGCAGCGAGCGGTGCGCAGGCAGGGTCCTAGGCTAGGACCTGCTCTGAAGCCATGTTAGAAGTATGAAGAGGAATGAATGAACTAGCAGCAAGATGGGTACAAGTAGGAAACCCTAATTGGGTTGTACCCCATATGGGCTACCCCTCTACAGCCTACACAATACGCAGCATATAAGTTTGACACCTCTGTCCCCTGGCCATCGCCCTGCCTCGAAAAAGGGGGTTTTGCAGGGCAAGGCGAGGGCCAGGATGTTTGCCCGAGACGGAAGGTGGGGAGAGGAAATTGGGTGCTTCCTTGGAGCCTAAACCCACGAGGGTAATGGCTGTTCTGTCGCCATTTCCCTTCGAACAGGATCGGAAGGGAAATGGCTGGCTCGGCACCATTTTCCGAGCTGACCGCCCTTCGAACCCAAAAAACGCAGTGGGGGGAAGCATCCTACTTCCCCTCGCCCCCCCACCGCCAGAGCCTACAGAACAGAGCCACTATTGCCCGTAGCACCACTTCACGTCCCCTGCTTGGGGTTGCAAGGGAGTCACGGACTGTGATGGCTTTTTTCCAATCGATCCTCCTGCCCACCGTCTCTTCCCACTTCAGGTGCTGCTTCAGCTGGGACGTTGGGGTTTTCTGTACACGTATAGTTCACGGGTTATTATACAAATAGTCACTACCAAGGGCGCGCTATCACATATGGTCACTCGGTCATCACGAACGGTAATTGAAACGGGCAAATCTATCACGGATAGTCACTGAATATCACGGATGGTCACTCGTCGCCCCACGATGTTATGACGAATGGTCACTCGAAGAAACACCGCCCGAAAGTTGAAATGCTTCCCCACGCGATGTCACACTATTGCGATTTAGGGACTATTAGCGCGTTAATTATGTCTGTCTTTTTTTCGCGGCACTGTTTCTGTCTCGCGACGTCGTTTTGTCCGTAGTGTTGCGAGACGTTGTTACTTACGAACTATTTTCGCGACCACTCTCGCTAACTCGTTAAAAACATATGAAATTTCTTGGCAACATCGGCTAGTTAGCTCGTGGCGCAGTGCCACTGTTCGACTGTCCACTGTTCGATTGATGCATAATGTCCCTTAAAATATTACTTTTAGACAGGTGAACTCGAAGTCAATATCTGTTCCCAAGAAAAAAAAAACTAAAACACATTCGGATGGGATTTCCTTCGGGAGGCAACAACCCTAAACACATTGTCGCATGGTGTTTAGAGTTGATGCCTCCCGAAGGGCGTGCCATCCTATAGGGGTTTATTTTTTTCTTCAGTCCTAGATGTCACGCGAGAATCATGCGTGAGGTAATAAGCAATCAAAATTGGGATTCCACAAAATCTCTACAGTTTCTTCACAGTGGCTTAGAGAGTTTCAGCTTTCCTTAAAGGTTTCATCGGGTGACCATTCGTGGTAGAAATGCAGGGCAACGAGTGACCATCCGTGATAGTTAGGGTACATTCCTAGCTCGTGATGACCGGAAGTTGGACCCACTTTGGGTCTTCCGAGACCAACTTCGGGTCTTCCGGCCAAAAATTGCCCATGTTTCCGGAAGACATTAAGTTTGACAGGAAGTTTAACCCAAAGCTTCGGGTCTTCCCGGGAAGGCCCGAAGCTTGATACGAGCCAGGAACGTACCCTTAGAGACTATCCGTGATAGATTTGCCAGTTTCAATGACCGTTCGTGATAACCAGGTGACCATTTGTGATAGCTTGCCCTTAATAGTGACTATTAGTATAATAACCCTATCGTTCACTCCATACCAGAATTGTTTCGACCCGACCATCGCTGCAGAAGCCAGCTCCCGCGAGCCCCGAGATTCGCGCTACACACCTGAACAGACCCCCCAAACCCCCCCTTCCCCCACAGCCCTACCCACCCTCATGCCGTGGCAACTAAACCCTATTGCGCAAACATCGCGCGCTTTAGCGAGTGAAGTTGCGCCATAAACGCAGGGTGCCAGGGGGGCGGCCGAATGCATAAGGACACGGTGAAAGTAGACAATCGATCGTCAGTCGCGATCGATGTGCGGATTGGTTACCCTATTTACTAGGCTGTAACCATGCTACAAAACGCTTTTTGGCCAGAATTTCTGTACAGTGTGTGAATGCGACTGATCACTGATCGCGGGAAATCTGTCAATTCTCAGGTGCGATCGTTACAACGTCGCGGTCGCCACGTTTCGCCAATCGATCTGCCCACTCGATTGTGGTGCTCGATATATGCAGACGATCCTGGAGTTACTCTGGCGCTACTCTGCCAGCAACGTCGGGACTTCTAAGGTGGATAGACTGTTGACACATCGCTGACATCAGCCGTGGTGACAACAGCTCCTCTAATTCGTCGGCACAGGCGCCATGACTGCGCGCAGAGCTCCATTAGCGCCGGTACTCGGCAGCTCGTGCGGAGTGAGAGGCGGGGAGGGGGGAGGGGTTTGGGGAGGGGAGGTGCTTCAGAGGCGTTGATCCGCGCATGTACATGTACATGTCAGGGCTGATTTTTTATCAGTGTAAATCACCCTGATACACTGATAATCAGGGTGGTTTTTGGTAGTCACACTGATGCCTTAGGGTAATTTTTTATGGAGCCCTGATTTTCCTGATATGCCTGGGTTTACGTTTGAGGCACACTGTCGCCCCAGGGTTACCGTTCTTCTTAGCGAGTTTTACCCTGAAGCGAATGCCACCCCCCCCCACCCCCCCCTCCACCCCCCCCCCCCCCCCTCTCCCAACCCGCCCTCGCACCTCAGTCCCTTTATGTAGAGAGATAAAAAGATGTTATCGAAATACTCACGGTGAAGTGGCCCGGTTGCAGATTGGTCTTTGGTAGTTTGAAGATCCGGGATCAATTCCTGTAGGTGGTATTTTTGTTCAGAACTTACGTAGAAACACTTCATCAGGGTTCTGAAAATTGTTACACTGTCGCCTAAGGGTAAATTTCTTGAAACTATGGAAAACCCTGATGGAAAAGAATTTTCCCAAGGGGTCACACTGATAATCAGGGTTTTGCATAGGTGCAGGACTTATGATAAGGGTTTCTAAAAACAAAAAAATAGCCCTGGTACATGTACATGAACATGTGCAGTACATGCGCGGATCAACATGTAGCGGTTCCGGCATAGGCGCCGAAATAGAATATACTGTTCACCATTTTCTTCTGTTGCTGCTCTCTGATCCACCAGATTGATTGGTTCTGTCCGAACCTCCCAGGCGAAGCCAGCTCGGCGTGCCCAGATTCGCGCGGCACACCTGAAACACCCCTCCCCTAAACACCTGGATTCGCAACTTCACCCGTCGCGCAGATTTCGCCCGCTTTGATGAAGTTACTTGACAGAAGAACAAGGTGCCAGATGGAGGCAAAGAACTCCCTGGCCGCACCAGACGGACCAGCACCGAGAATTTAGGCGGGAAGCATTCTGCGCGGCGGCGAATTTTCGATTAGCAAGGCTACTGCTCTTATTGGTTGCGAAAGCATGTCACCACTCGCGTTTCTTCGTTTATCGGCACGACTTGTCACATGCTCCCAAACTCATAAATTCCAGCGCTTCACCTCTCTTCCCACATTCATTTTCTCACTCGTCGTTGCAAACGCTGAGGACTGAAACCAGCACTCGCACGATCAATCACGGTAGTTTCAGGATTACCTTCAATTCGCGTCATGGCGTCGTGGCAGCTTTCCGTTCTCGCCCTCTGCACGCTCGCGTCTCTGTTGGCGCCTGCTGCGGCGCGGCCTACCAAGGAGGACTTCATTGACGAATTAAAGAAGACTCGAGACGCGCTTGCGGATTCCAAGCTGAACAACCGATATTACGCCACCCACACGCTCCTCGACCATGTCATCCCTCAACTGGGTAATCCCTGCTGCATTTCCCGCAAGTTATGCACGCCGTTTTTTGTTGCGTTCTCTGGTACACATTTCGTAATGTTCTTTTTGGCTTGACACAGCGTCTGTTTTCATCGCGATGATGCAGAGACCGACTGGAACCCAAACGAAGACTTCCTCAACAAAGTCGACGGCAAGACCATGCTGCTGCCCGAGGACAGCGTCATTGCTACCAAAGCCCCGGACGCGCTCGCCATGATGGTGAAATCCGGCATGAGGCGCGGCGAAGTCGACCCCTTCACCAAGCTCTTCCGCGCTCAGATGCTCGACGGCGTGTACGAGGAGGACGACCTCGCGAAGGCGTCAAATCTGAAGGACGTGAATGGCCGCAGCGTGGGTGCGGATGAGATTGTGGACGCGACGACCAAGTCTAAGAAGGTGGCGATTGGAAAGGGCAGGGCTAAGATTAAGCATGCTGGGATTTTCAGGGGAAGGTTTCTCACCATCCATGGCGTCGACGCGTCGCAGCCGGAAGAGTAATCAAGTTCGACGGATGTTGGGGTAACCATGCTTTCTTGCAACCAGGTCACATTGTGAACGTCATGTTGTACCGTATTGTGTTTGGCAGAGAAATGTGTTTGTATTGTGTTTGGCAATAAAGTGAGATTGTAAATGTGCTTGGCTGAATATTGTGGTTGTATTGTGGCACATTGAACAATGTGGCAAGGGCATCATCTCACTAAGTGCTAAACTGGGGCTTAACCGGTAAACTGGCCTAATGGGGCGAAGTGCTATGGACGAGAATGGCGGTAGTGGATGTGAGGGTGCAGCAGTGGGCGGGGTGAGCAGCAGTGCAGGCGGGGATGAGAGGGAACACACGGGAAGTGGTTTAGGGGTGAGTGAGGGTGCATGGGAAGGATAAACCTGTTGTGTAAGAACAACATGCCTGGGGGTCGTGCCTGTTTCCTGGGAGCCATGCCCATGCCTTACCCTGCTGCCATGCCTGCTGCTGCTGCCACTCCTGCAGTCTCCTCCCCATGTGCTGCCAGCATGGCTCTGCCCCAACCAGCAAGAGCAATTCTGTCTGCAGCGATACCGTTGCTGCCTCGTGTCTTGCTGCACCCTGCTGCTTCCACTGCACCCTTGCTCCAAGGTGGGAGCAGAGCAGCAGCAGGCGGTCACATTTGAAAAGCACGTCAATCCACATGCGGCCAACAAATTCTGTCTTTATCTCGCGGCACTGAGAGACAATGAGAGGGAATAAGTGTGAGAGGCAAACGGGTGGGGGGGTGATGAGTAAGTGCAGGAGGCAATGAGAGGGAGAGGCAATGCGTGCGAGAGGAGGCAATAAGTGCGCGTTGTGCCAACAAGTGAAAGCTGGATTTTCAACACATATCTCCACGCACCACGCATGCACGTGCCATACCAATTTTAGGTTCAGGGGTTGGCGAGAGTTTGGTTGGAGGAGATTGGGGCTGGAAAGCAAGGATGGCAGAGGGGAAGAGAAAGGGGCGGGTTGAGGGCAGTTGGGAGGCGCAGTTGTTAGAGAAGACGGAACGGCAGAGGAAGGAGTTGAGTGGGATAGGGAGAGGCATCTAATAAGAGCGTGGGAACAGTCGGAGAGAACGGGGTAAGGGAGTGAGGGAAAGGCGGGAATATAGCAAGGAGAAAATGAGCACGAAACTCATGCCACACACGCCACACATGCCACACACGCCACCCATTCCCCCCCCCCCCCCTTTCTCACCCACCCCCGCAACCCCCACCCACCCACCCACCCCTGCCCCCCTCCCCCCCAACCACCCACCATCGATCTCTGCTCGGGAGTGCTGGGGGAGCAGCACGCCGAGAGGGCGCCGCATGAGCGAGCACCACTCACTCGCCCGTCGCTGTCGCCGCCACCGCTCATCACGGGTTAAAAGAGTTGAGCCCAACAGCACGGGAGTGAACGGACGGGGCCTGGAGAAGGGCCAAGTGGGTCCCGCACGCAGTGAGGGGAAGGTTTGTCCGGACGGTCACCACGGAAATAGGTGAACAACAGCAGATGTTACCTGTAACGCATGTCGGCTTGTGTTAAAGGGCCATTCCGTTGCGGCAAATAACACCCTCGTTTTGACCCAGTCGGTGGCGAGGCATTATACTACCCCACCTGCTGATCGCACCTCACCCAATACACACTCAACCTTCTCACCTTTTCTCACCTATTACAACCCTTCTCACCCTTCCTCACCTCCTCAACCGCTGGTCCAGGTGGGTGAAGCCGCTCAGAGCCCAGGGCGTGAGGAAGAGCACACGGAGGTGGCCTGTTGAGTTGCACGCGCATGTTCCCCCGGCGTATGCTCATCTTCCCCCGGCGCTGCGCACTGGCTCGCGCCACCCCCATACGCCTGCCAACGCCACCATCATAACTCCAGAAGGCCTTTGAGTCAGCGGGGATTAAGAACGACCAGCACTGACATTTGTGTGTCTTACGCACTAAGAGCGAGCGAGGACGGGGGAAGGATCACCAATCGCTCATCACACCCCCCCCCCCCGCTCATCACTACCCCCCCCGCTCATCACACCCCCTCCCCCCGCTCATCACTCCCCCCCCCCGCTCATCACACCCCCCCCCCCCGCTCATCACTCCCCCCCCCCGCTCATCACTCCCCCCCCCCGCTCATCACTCCCCCCCCCCGCTCATCAATCCCCCCCCCCGTTCATCACTCCCCCCCCCCGCTCATCACTCCCCCCGCCGCTCAGCGGCACGTGTGGACCAGCACCACCTTTTGAGACGTCTCAAAAGGCACATGTGGACCAGCACCACCTTTTGAGACGTCTCAAAAGGCACATGTGGACCAGCACCACCTTTTGAGACGTCTCAAAAGGCACGTGTGGACCAGCACCACCTTTTGAGACGTCTCAAAAGGCACATGTGGACCAGCACCACCTTTTGAGACGTCTCAAAAGGCACATGTGGACCAGCACCACCTTTTGAGACGTCTCAAAAGGCACGTGTGGACCAGCACCACCACGAGCTCGTCGTTGCCAGCACAGCACTGCGCAGGCGCTCGCCTCTGCTTGCGCGCACGGGCTTGGCGCGGCGCGGCACAGCGCTAGAGGGACAGAGGGAGCGAAGTTGGTGGGATAGGGTTACGAGTGAGGGAGCGAGGGAGGAAGAATCACATCACCACGCATCTGTCTCGGCCAGCACCACGCCACCGTCGCGCGCGTGCGTGCGTGCCGCTAACATCTGCTCGCGCGCACCGACAAATGTGGGACCAATGCGCTCGTCTCTGCCGCCGCGTCTCACCTCTGCTCGCGCGCACGTGCTTGGCCGCGTGCCGTTGCGCCGTGCCGATGATTTCAGGAGCGGGCGTCTTCAGCGGCAGCGATTGCGGCGGATTCAGCGCTCGTGACCCGGAAGGTGGCAGGAAGGGGAGGCGCGAATTAACGACTCGTTAGTAATCGGACGGGAAGGGACGGCGAGAGTGGGAGGGAGATGCAGAACGAGTCGATGCGTGCGACAGCGGCGCCATGCGTGGCGGCGGCACGCGCAGCGGCGACATGGGGGGTGAAAACGGTAGTGGCGGCGACACAGCACCAGTCGCGGCGTGCACGGCCATTCTGTGAAGCGCACGTCGTCGTGCGACATCGCTCAAGCGATGCTCGACGACGGCGGCGACGGCGACGACCCCGACGAGGCCGAGACGAGCGGGGAGTCGCCCGTCACTGCCGAGTCGCCAAGGAACACGTGTCGGGCAGCGATTGCCTGGAGCGCGAGTGCTTCTAGGGATTCGGCACCTAATCTGGTTTCTGGGAAGCGGCGCTAGCGCCGGCTCTAGGTGGTGGCATGCGAGCTTGGTTGAAGGTGACAGACCGACGAAGCGCGCGGGTGCTGGGATGACTTTAGAGACAGTGCTGGGGTCCAGCCTGTGATTGCGGGAGCTTTATGAAAATATGTGGGATATAAAATCGAATTGTCACTAGCATGGAGCTCAATAAAGCGTACACTCAACATTACATTTTGGTTTACGTTTTTGGTAACTCGTTGTACGTGTCTGGTCACAAAAAAACTGGCAAACGTGCGAATGGTAGTTAAAAGCAATTGCCACCTATAATGACTTTGATTTCAAGGGTTTGATGGGCCAGGTTTGGGTGTACCAAGCACTCCGACTGTTCTGCCTTGAACGAAAACTTCTGTGCGTAACTGACAGCAGCATTTTGTGGCAGCTGTGCCTGCACGCCCTCTGTACTGTTTTGGTTCCAAGTGCGAGAAGTTTTCAAAATAACCCACTGACATTCCACCGACACTGTACTACCGAGGCGAAGGAGTCCTTTGGTTTGGGTTGGGCTTGCGCAGCAGGTGCCACCTCGGCAATCGGCTCGGCACTTGCCCGAGGCGCGCGTTCTGGCGCGAGCTGACGTGCACCAGCGCGCAGCAGCGTGGAGGGGTCCACCAGGTTTGCGCGAGCTGCAACACGTTCTGTAGCATCCTTTCCGCTGACCTGTGTTTCCGTCGCGCAGCTAGCAGGTGTTCCCCAGCCAGCTGGAGCCGTTCCGCAGGCACACGAAGATAAGGCCTGCAATGCCCAGAACTTTCTCTGTATGCCTGCAACGGGGAGGTACCCAATGATTTGCTGCATATCTTCTACACTTTTCTATTCCCAGTATCTTGAATATAATAAACCAATTTCTGGATTAAGTGGAAATCCCCAGATACACCTTTGGGCACATCTACGGAGAGTGACTACTACTATGTGACCTTTCAGTACTGGAGCTGAATGGGACCACCCTCGGCAGCTCCACCCTGTTCGAGCTTCCGCCTCACCGTTTCGAGTTCCGCTCTCCGCCACCTTGCTTAGCACAAATCACCCAGCACCGTATGTGCACATTTTTAGTGTTCGATTTTCTTACTGGAAACGCAGAACGTGGAAACCAGACACACGCCAGATTAGCGATTTCATCCCAGTTTGTGCGTGCACCATGGTTTTGTCGCAGCAGCTTTTCGTTTTTGCCATTGCGCTCGCATTGCTGCTGGCGCCTGCTGGGGCGAAGCGACCCAGCAAGGAGCAGCTGATCGCGGAGGTTAAGAACGTTCGAGCCGCGCTTAAGGACCCCAAACTGAGTACCCGATATCGCGCCAGCGGCATGTTTCTTGACACGCTCATCCCTCAACTGGGTACCAAGACGCACTAATACTCTCCGGATTCGCGCACTTCTTTCCTCCCTAAAACAGACTGATTACGTCTTCTGTTTGCTCTCTTTTTATCTTCTCACATCGTTTATGTTTTTCGTGTGCTTCAGAGAACAATTGGAATCCAACGGACGAGTTCCTCGCTTCAGCCGACGGCAAAACCGTTCTGCTACCCGAAGACACTGCAATCGGTTCCGCAGCCCCTGGTGCCCTCTACGACATGATGAAGCCGGGTCTGAAGCGCAAAGAGGTGCGCGGCTATGCATCGATGATTCGCTCTAATTTGCTTGCCGGGGTCTACGACGAGAATGGCATCAGTAACGCCAAGGTGTTAAAGGACGGAAATGGCCGCCAGGTGCCGAAGGCTGTGACTGTGAACGGTGTTAAGGGACGGAAGGGAAAGCCCGCAATCGGAAAGGGGAAGGCGAGAATTAAGAATTCCAGTCTGTATAAGGGCAAGTTTTTCATTATCCATGGTGTGGATGGAGTGCAGAAGGCATAGTATTTTTCTCCTCATTTCAGTTCATTTTAAGTTACGGTAGGCAGGAAGAAATTGGGGGATCTTCGTTTTGTTGGGGTGTCTTTCTTTTACGCTATAGATAATGGCATGATATTTAACATGACACTGTAACTACGGTATGTGAATTGAAAACAATACGAGGATAAGACATGTTTATGTAAGGGAAAATATGTCAATGGTAACTTACATGGGGCACTATAACGCGTACCGTAATATTCCACCATTCCCTGGAATACAAAACAGCAGCGAACAGCTGAGGACTACAATTGACTGGGATGCCTTACGTTCTCCCGAAACTTCCCGTTTGCTCCAACCTCGAGCTAGACTACCTTCTCGAAAGTCTAGCCACATATCATTTCAACATGAAATAAGTGCGTTTTTGAGACATCTCAGAAAGTCTACTAGCCTAGACATCTCATTTGAAAGCCGGCGCGCTTCGTCGGGCTGTCGGCTCCACCCGTGCGTGCTGCCATGCAAGTCGCCGCGCACTGCGGTGCAGTGCGGCTCACATGCCAGCGGCTCACATGCCGCCACGTGGAACCGACCCTAGCATCCCTTCCCTGGAGCCAGAATAGAAGCCGAAACCCTAGAAGCACTCGGTTCAGAATCACACGCGCTCGAAGCTATCACGCGCCTACGCGTGTCCCTTCGCGACTCGTGAGCGGCGACGGGCGACTTCCCGCTCGTCTCAGCGTCGTCGGGGTTGTCCCCTTCATCGCCGTCGTCGAGCGTCGCATAAGGGATGTCGCACGGCGACGAGCGACTCACAGAACTGCCGTGCACGCCGCGACTGATGCGCGTGTCCCCGCCGCTACGACCCGTGTTGCCCCCCATCCCGCCTTTACACGCCTCGCCTCCATGCATGGCGCCGCTGTCGCACGCATCGACTCGTTCTGCATCTCCCTCCCACTCTCGACGTCCCTTCCCGTCCGTCGTTATGCCGCGCCTCCCCTCCGTGCCACTAAATCCGCCGCTATTGCCGCCGTTGAAGGCGCCGGCAACGCAGTCAAATTAGCTGCTTCCCTCCCGCCCTTCCCCTCCCCATTCCCCGCATCCTCCCCCTCATCCTCCGCCGACGCTTCCGCCTCTTCCGCGTCTTCCGCCGCCCCAGCTTCCCCGCCTCCCCAGAGCAAGCGGCAGTACGCGATCGGCGCGCTGCAGCAGCTGCCCGCCGTGTCGCCCGCTGCGGAAATCATCGGCACGGCGCTGCGCCGCGCCAAGCACGTGCGCGCGAGCAGAGGTGAGCGGCGGCGTGGTGCTGGCAGCGACGGGTGCGTGGTGCTGGCTTGCACGTGATGAGCGGTAGTGGCGGCAGCGGTGGTAAATTTTGCTCCATCGCTCCCTCTATCTTAGCCCTTCCGCACGAATCCCAGCCCCCCCCCCCCCCCCCCCCCCCCCCTCCCCCCCTCTTCTTTCCATCAAACGCGCACTCACACTCTGGCGTCTGGTCTGACATGTTGACACCTGGTTTGTAACCCTTGACACTTGAAACCCCAAACCCGAAACTTGAAACCCAAAACCCGAAACCCTGTGTTGCGAAGCGAAGGGAGGTTGATGCATGATGTTGGGTGGGGGGATGGCGGGTTGGGACTTGCTTTGATATCTTGACTTCTTTTTTATATGCGGTGATGGCGGGTGGGTGGGTGGGTGCGTGCGTGCATGTGTGCATGTGTGCGTGTGTGCGTGTGTGCGTGCGTGCGTGTGTGCGGCGTGCGTGTGTGCATGTGTGCGTGTGTGCGTGTGTGCAGGCATAATGAATGCAGCGAAGAGGGAGAGGAGCAAAGGCGCGCAACAACTGGACTGCCTCACTAAGGTATGTATGGCATGTGGGGCATGTGGGGCATGTGGGGCATGTGGGGCATGTGGGGCATGTGGGGCATGTGGGGCACGTGGGGCATGTGGGGCACGTGGGGCACGTGGGGCACGTGGGGCACGTGGGGCATGTGGGGCATGTGGGGCATGTGGGGCACGTGGGGCATGGCATGTGGGCCATCCCGTCGCATGTGTGTCATCTGTGTCGTTCCTACTTGTATGGCAGAAACGCATCAAGCATTTCCCTCATGTTCACTCTTTTTCCTCGTGTCCTATCCTGCTGTTCCCACCTTCCCCCACATGCAAATCCTCTGTCTCTCTCTCATCGCCCCCATTCCGCCTCAACCAGTGCATGTGCTCGCCCGCTCGCCTTTTCCGTCTGTAACCACTGCATTCCCCCCACCCCCACCCCCTCCTTTTGAGTCTCCAAGAGTCTCCGAACCTTTCAACCCGTCACCCCTCTAAGCCTTAAACCCCGCAACCGTTCAACACCTCAACCTCTCGCCCTTTCCTCGTTCCCCAGGAGATCAGCGGTCCACTGGGTCGCTACGTGCGCCTCTTCCCCCGCCGCCCCCAGCTGCACCCCTTTGAGAGCTGCCTGGTGGAGCTCACTTTGGGCGATGGGGTGTATGAAGAGGTGAGGCGGGGAGGCGGTGAGTGAAAATATGTTGGGGAGACTCGTGGGTTGGCCTTTCTGCCTGTGCCGCACTTACTTCCCGCGCCGTCCCCAGCTGCACCCTTTTGAGCGCTGCCTGGTGGAGCTCACCCTGGGCGATGGGGTGTATGAAGAGGTGAGGCAGAAAGGCGGGGAGGCGGGGAGAGGGGTGAGGGTGGAGAGGGTGAGAGAGCTTGGCCTGTCTGTCTGCCCCTCGCCCACTTGCCCCGCCGCCCCCAGCTGCACCCCTTCGAGAGCTGCCTGGTGGAGCTCACCCTGGGAGACGGGGTGTATGAAGAGGTGAGGCGGTGAGGAGGTGAGGGGGTGAGTGAGGAAATGCCAGGAGTGTTGATGGGGACTGCACTGGCTTTGTGTGGCCGTGTTTTGAGTCAGCTCAAAATACGACTCATTACACGCGGTTGGGTAGGCCCTTGGGCTGGCCTGTCTGCCTGTGCCTCACGCCCTCCGCTGCCCCCAGCTGTACACGGCAGCTGGTGGAGCTCACCCGGGGCAGAAGAAGGGGGTCTATGAGGAGGTGAGGGGGAAGGCGTTTTGAGACGTCTCAAAGCACTTCTTTTATCACGCGGCAGCTGGTGGAGCGGAGCTCACCATGGGAAGAAGAAGGGGGTCTATGAGGGGGTGAGGGGGAAGGCGTGCACGAGGCGAGGAGGACTATTTGGTCCTAAGATGCCTGATCGCCTCTGCCTTCCGCCCCCTCATTCCAACTGCTCTTCCCACTGCCTTCCCCTTTTGTGGCCTTCAGCTTTTCTTCAGTCCTTCTTACTCCCACCCACTTCCACCTTTACATTCTTCAATCCCCTCTTATTCCCACTCCCATTTATATCTTCTATTAACTCGTTTCCCCCGTGCCGTCACCTCTTTCCTCACATCGCCCGTGTCCACACCGCCCGTGTCCACATCGCCCGTGTCACCTCTTTCCTTTCATCTCCGCCAGGTGCTGTCTCGAGTGGACGCCCTGCGCAAGAGGGTGCTGGACGTGGGCAAGAACGCTGCCAGCCTCGTCAACAAGGTGGGTGCTGTGCGGTGCTGTGCTGTGCCTGCCTTTCTCTGCTGTGTGCTGCTGCTGGTGCAGCTACCTTTGTAGCCCTTTTCCACACCGCCATGGAGCTATTCCATGTGGAAACTGTTGTGCTTCTCGAGGGAAAGAAGGCAGGCAGCCTTGTGAGCATGGTGCTCACACACTCAGACTCCGTCCTTTATTCGTACCAACCGTTTTTTTGTGGAAGTAAGTAGTTTCTGCTGCTGAAAACAGTAGTTTGTTTGTTGTGCTCACTGTGCACTAGCATAAGTCTGAGCCAATGGCTCGGCTCGGCTTGCCCAACCTGACTAACCAAGCCGACTTTCCTACCAAGTTGGCTCGACTCGAGTCGAGCCGAGCTAGCTCAAAGAACCGTGACCCAGATTTGCTGGTTTGTCGGCTTGTGGGCTCGTTTGCTTGTAGGCTGGTCGGCTCGTTGAGCTTGCGCTTATCGCCCAAGACGGCTCAGCGAGCCGTGAGTCGTCGATGAGCCTCGCCAGGCTTGTCAATCACCCTGTGCTTATGCGCGTGTAGCACGGCACACATGTGGGCTGCACACATGGGCTGCACATGTGGCCTGCGCATGCCCGGTCTCTTCCTGTCATTCTGGCGCTCACAATGTGGAAGCCCTTTTGTTTTTTCGAATGCACTGTCCCGTGCAGACGAGCACAGTGAAGGAGGCGGAGCAGGCCACAGCACAGGTACTCTCGTGCCGCCTTGTGCTGCGCTGTGTGTATTTATGGCATGACGTCATGATGGCATGATGGCGTGATGGCATGTAGGCATGAAGGCATGTTGGCATGATGGCATGATGGCATGATGGCAGCAGCACTTGAGGCCGCAGTGAATCACATGTGCTTCGGTGTGCTAGGCCATGCTGATTGACTGGCCCAACGGACCTCCGCACCAGCCTGAAACCCAGTCGTCGCTTTCAGCCCATGAATTCTCTGGCTCCCAGCTGCTTGTTTCCACACCTGCTGTCCCGTCATGCTTCGCCCTTCGCACCATCAGGGCAGGGCGCAGGTGAAGCACCTATACATGTGCAGCTGCCTCTTCCCGCCGCCCACTTTCCCTTCCTTGATTTTCATCCCTGCTCTACCCCTCGTCGTCCTGCCACATCCATCAGGGCATGGCACAGGTGGAGGAGCTGTACACGCGCAACAGCCATGTCGTTGAGAGGCTCAAAGAGATCACCAAGGTCAGTGCTGCTGCTGCTGTTGACTTGTGAGTCGACTCAAAGGCGCAGCAGCCATGTGGTGGAGCGACTCAAAGAGATCACCAAGGTCAGTCACTCACTGCTGCTGCTGCTGCTGCAACTTCCTGGTAAGTTCCACCACAGCACCCCTGTGTCATACGGCCCTTGTTAGACGCTTTTGCGGCCGTCTCAAGTTATCATGCCGCTGCTGCGCCTGCCATCGCTCTTCTCCCTGCTCCCCCCATACCCCGCGATGCCCCATCACTCCTTCCCTCTGCTGCTCCCTGCTCCCCCCTGCCGCCCCCGTGCCTCAGAGGCTGCGAGCCATACCGGTGGTTCGGCCGGACCTGCCCACGCTGTGCCTCCTGTGCCTGCCATCACTCTTCTCCCTGCCCCCCTCCCTTCTCCCTTCCCTGCTCCCTTCCCTGCTCCCCTTCCCCCTCCCTTCTTTTCATGTTCCTCAGAGGCTGAGAGCCATACCGGTGGTGCGGCCGGACCTGCCAACGCTGTGCCTGGTGGGGGCGCCCAACGTGGGCAAGTCATCACTCGTGCGCGCCATCTCCTCTGGCAAGCCCGAGGTGCGTGGGTGGGTGCGGCATGCAGGGATGGTCGGGCTATGAGCAACTGCCAGGCGCGTCTATTCACATCCTTCGTGCAAGCCATTTCCTCTGGCAAGCCCCGCACGTGTGCGTGAGCTGTGAGAGGGGGGAAGGGCTGCGTGCGCTAGTGCGTCCATGCAGGCATCTCTGTGTGTGGCGTGGAGAGATGTAAGGATGCAGACAGAGAGGCATGGGCGCATGTGTGTGCCTGTGCGTATTTTCTCTGTGTGCTCTGTGAACAACTGCTTGCCGGTAATAACTTGTGTGCCATGGGCATACATACATCCACACCTCTCATGTTGTCTTCCTCCCCCCTGCATGTCTATATGCATGAATGGCTGTGTGAATGCATGCTTATGTGGATGCATGTCTATGTGCATGCATGTCTGTGTGCATGCATGTCCGTATGCATGCATGCAGGTGTGCAACTACCCATTCACCACGCGGGGCATCAGCATGGGGCACTTCTATGTGGATGGCAACAAGCACCAGGTCAGTGTATAGTGGGGCATGCACCATGGTGTATGCTGCATGGTGCATGGGGCATATGGTGCTTGCTTGGTGCTTGGAAGATCAGCATCAGGTGCCATTCAATAGAACTGCACATTGCTTTCACTGGCAGGACTGCTGCCGCGTGATTCACGTCTGGCTCGCTCTGCTGCTCCCTCCCATCCCCCCATTGTCAGGTCACAGACACACCAGGCCTGCTCTCCCGCCCTGATGGTACCTACCACTCCCCCTACTCCTCCCGCTTTGCCTTGGGAATTGATCCCTCGCTCCTGTCCTCCTAGTCTCAGTTCTCCTAGTCCTATTTCTCCTCCTAGTCCTTGGGTTCTGTCTTGAGACACTCTCTCTCCTGCTCCCTCTCCTGCTCTCTCTCCTGCTCCCTCTCCTGCCCCCTCTCCTGCCCCCTCTCCTGCTCCCTCTCCTGCCCCCTCTCCTGCTCCCTCTCCTGCCCCCTCTCCTGCCCCCTCTCCTGCTCTCTCTCCTGCTCCATCTTCTGCTCCCTCTCCTGCTCCCTCACGTGCAACAATATAGTTCTTCGAGCCATCGCCAATTTCACATGTTCCACTGCTGGTGTTTCAGTTTCCACTCGTGCTCCCCTTCTCCCTTGCACCACTCCTCTCGCCCTGCGCTCGGTCCCAGAGCAGCGCAACAGCATTGAGCTGCTCACCATCGCAGCCATCACCATAGCCCCCAGCCATTGCACCGCTCCTCTCCCATGTGCACCCACTGCCTCCCATCCCCTCGCCCTACCCTCTCCCATCCCCTCGCCCTACCCTCACCCATCTCCCCCCCCCAGAGCAGCGCAACAGCATAGAGCTGCTCACCATCGCAGCCATCACCCATCTGCCCACTGCTGTGCTTTTCGTTCATGACCCCTCAGAGGAGTGCGGTGTGAACCGGTTGAAGCAGGTGAGGAGTGTGGTGTCAACCGGTTGAAGCAGGTGAGGAGTGCGGTGTGAACCGGTTGAAGCAGGTGAGGAGTGCGGTGTGAACCGGTTGAAGCAGGTGAGGAGTGCGGTGTGAACCGGTTGAAGCAGGTGAGGAGTGCGGTGTCAACCGGTTGAAGCAGGTGAGGAGTGCGGTGTCAACCGGTTGAAGCAGGTGAGGAGTGCGGTGTGAACCGGTTGAAGCAGGTGAGGAGTGCGGTGTGAACCGGTTGAAGCAGGTGAGGAGTGCGGTGTCAACCGGTTGAAGCAGGTGAGGAGTGCGGTGTGAACCGGTTGAAGCAGGTGAGGAGTGCGGTGTCAACCGGTTGAAGCAGGTGAGGAGTGCGGCCATGTTTACCTTGTTTTCCACAGTCCATCCTACCGCACTGCACCACGCTCTACCCAGTTTCACCTTGCATGCAGTCAGTTGTTCCTCATTCCAGCCTGCCCTTATTGGCCTCGTTGCATTTGTTGCTCCTTAATTACCATTCCCCTCCCCTTGCCAGTATCAACTGTACAGCGAGATAAAGACAAGATTTGCCGACCGCGTGTGGATCGACGTGATATCCAAGTGCGACCTGCCTGCTGCTGCTCCCACGGAGGAGCCTCCAGGCGGCCAATCAGAGGAGGCGGATGGGGATGGAAGAAGTGCGGGCCTCGCAGACTTGCTTCCAGAGGGGGCGAGTGAGGATGGAAGGAGGGAGGGCGAGGAGGGCATGGGCTCTGGTGGAGAGGCTAGTGATATTACCGAGGGCAGACACACAGGCGGCAGCAACAGCAGTGATTCGGACAGGAGGGATACAGCTGCGGTGCTGCTGGGTGAAGCCGAGGCAGTGCGGGAAGCACATGGGGAGGAGAAGGCGGAAGTAGCGGTGACAGCAGCAAGCGTGGCGGCGTGGGAGGAGTACAAGGCTCACGGTGGGCCTGCTGCCGCCCTGAGAGTGTCAACTGTGGCGGGTGTTGGTACGGAGGAGGTGAGAGGCGGGTGTTGGTGTGCAGGAGCCAGGAGGTGAGAGGTGGGTGTTGATGTGGAGGAGGTGAGAGGCAGGTGGCTTGGACTTGATTGGGGCAGGCAGGCATGGCTGCATTGCACCGTTCATTCAAGTCAGCACCTTGGTTCTGTGAGGCAAAGCCACGTGCCTTGTGTACCAGGCCTAGCCTTGCCTCTTCTTCCGTTGCTGCTCCATCCTCTACATTTTTTTGCATCTCTCTCATCACGCCTCCCCCCTCATCACGCCTCCCCCCTCATCACGCCTCCCCCCTCATCACGCCTCCCCCCTCATCACGCCTCCCCCCTCATCACGCCTCCCCCCTCATCACGCCTCCCCCCTCATCACGCCTCCCCCCTCATCACGCCTCCCCCCTCATCACGCCTCCCCCCTCATCACGCCTCCCCCCTCATCACGCCTCCCCCCTCATCACGCCTCCCCCCTCATCACGCCTCCCCCCTCATCACGCCTCCCCCCTCATCACGCCTCCCCCCTCATCACGCCTTCCCCCTCATCACACCTTCCCCCTCATCACACCTTCCCCCTCTTCACACCTTCCCCCTCTTCACACCTTCCCCCTCATCACACCTTCCCCCTCTTCATGCTTTCCTCCTCATTCCCTGCGTTTCCTCTCAACATGCTTCCCCCCCCATGCACCCTCACCCGCCCCTGTGCCAGTTGAGGCGAGGGAGTACTCTCCTCCCTCTTTCTTGTTGCCTGCTCAACATTCTTCATCTTCTCCCCCCTTGCACTCTCACCCAACCCTGTGCCAGTTGGTGAACGTCATACAGGCCATGCTGTGTGCCCATGCTTCATCCTCTGCCCATGCTTCATCCTCTGCCCATGCTTCCGATGCGCTCTCACCCACCCCTGTGCCAGTTGGTGAACGTCATACAGGCCATGCTGTGTGCGCCCTCCCTTGCATCCGCTCACTCATCCCCGCCTGCACTGCTCGTAAGCCCGCCCACTTCCACATCCTCACAAGCCCTGCCGCCAACTCAAGCTGCACACACGGAAGGTTCCGCCCTGTTTTCGGAAGATGCTGCAGGGCAAAGTTCTAGGCACAGTTTGGAGGCCTTGGAGGGAGAAAATGATATGGGTGGGTCGGGCAAAGGGAAGAAAGGCAAAGCTAGTGACTTCTATTACCCTCCACTGCCTTCTCACATGATGAAAGGTACATGACACCACATCCCTTGACGTCATTTCTACTCCTGTCGCGATAATTTTATGTTCCAATGGAAAATCGTCATGATTCAGAAGGTGTTAGCACATGTTAGCACAGGGACAGCAGAAGGTGATTGAGGGACAGCAGAGCCCTGTTGGACGTGACGTGAGTTTTCACGATTTTGGCCGTGCCAGAAACTTGTTGGGCATTCAAGCAATAATAGTATTGAGAAAGCTTGCTTTCTTGTTTTTATCATTTGGCATCGTTCTCATTGCAAATGGCATATTACAACATATCCATCGAGTTCTAACACAAGCTAGTACATGCAGAGAATACTAGCTAAAATGTACCGTGTCCAAACGGCCTTAGTAGGCAGTCGATGCTGGGGTGGGTGGTGGGAAAGTTGAGTGAGCCGTTGGAAATAGAGAAACGTGGGTGGAGGGAAATGAGCTCCAACCCACGGTTTTTGTAGTTGGAGAAGGGCGTTTAGCGCGCTTCGACGATGCCAAATGTGCAGTACAAGCAGCTTCGCTTTCACAATACACAATTTAAAAAACACAATGTGTGTTTAAAATTTATAATGTTTAGCAAAGCAGTGAGGTTAGGCGGGCACGTTCGGGGGCATGTACAAGGCCGGTAGGCAGGTAGGTGGTATGTCCCAAAGTGCAGTGGGTGCAACTTTAGCAGGAAGTACCATCGATATTCAGTCAAGTTGGGGTGACTAATCTATGCGCGTTACCATAAATGATTCGCAATCGCCAGAAACACCCGAATGGTCGACCATTCACTATGGTCGTTACAATTTTACACGCCCTAAGACTACAGATCGGCTACCAGCAACCGGACTTACAGCATGTTGGATGTGGGTTTTCTCGGCCATATGTATGCCCTAAACGGTATATGCTTGCAAGGTGGCATCACCACAATCTAAACAGCTTTTATCACATCACAACATACTATACAACAACTGGCATCACTACAAGCACAAACTCTTACACCTCCCGCGGCTGCACCGCATCCACGCCATGCATGATGAAAATCTTCCCTCTGAAAATTGTCGGTTCCTTGATCTTCGCCTTGCCCTTCCCGATCGCCACCTTCTTCTTTCCAGTCTTGGAGTCCAAAACCTCCGCCGTATCCACCTTGTGCCCATTCGCGTTCTTCAGACCTTGAGCGGATTTTAGGTCGTCCTCCTCGTACACTCCGTCCAGCATGTTCGCGCGAATCCAATTCCCGTACGGGGTAACGTCGCTGCGCTTGAACTTGGATGTCGCGAACGTGGTAACCGCGTCAGGCGCCGCGGAAGCGATGGCCGTATCGTCGGGTAGGAGGACGGTTTTTCCCTCCGTGTTGGCGAGGTATGAGTCCGTTGGGTTCCAGTCGGTCTCTGCACACAGAAAGGGAAAGAATTGGCTTGGATACAACGACTGAACGAGTCCCCGGCTGGAAATCTCAAAGTTCCTCACAGGAAAAGTAAAAGGAATCTATGAAAATATTTACCCAATATTGGGACGAGTTGGTCCATCATTGCGCCGCTGCCCTTGTATTTTCCGTTCAATTTGGGGTCCTTGAGCGCTTCCCGGGCCGCCTTCACCTCGTTAATCAAATCCTCCTTGCTGGGCCGCGCGGCAGCTGACGCGAGCAGCAATGCGAGCGTGCAGACGGCGGCGAGAACCGAGTGCTGGCCCATGGTGCGTGCGCAGGACGGAAATGGCTTAACTTACCTAAGAATGCAAGTGCAGGAAAGGCTGCACGACTGTACGCGGAGAGGCGAAAAACACCTAGCTGGAACTGTGAACGAGAAGGGTTGATAAGTGATGAGAAGAAAGCTCACCCTCAGTTAGCCTCGGCCATGCCGCCCAAAGACATCAATCTGAGTGGGCTCAGGGGACTTCCGCATCATGCTTGATTTTCACGCCACGACTCTCAACATGCGACGCGATTCCAATCTCCTCCTTATCACCTGAACAACCCCATCCACCTGGGTTTCGCTTCGTCGTGAGCCGCCGTAAAAGGCTCACGTCCCCGGCGAAAGTGATGCGAAAACAGAATGTGCAGAAAATGTTGGACCAGACCGCGATGTCTGTTTTGTTGGGTGCCACCAGGCATTTCCTTGGACGCAGGAAATGTCCCGACATACACGGCGGCGACTTGCCCCACGCGAACTTCCAGTGTCAACTCCCACTTCGCTAGCCCAGGTGATGTTTCGCGAACCACCCGCCCACCACCCTTATCTTTCGTAAATGTGGCTTGGGTGAAATTGTTACAGAGCTTTCATTCTCTGTAATTTCTGCACTTTATTACATTTCCGTTCGCCATTAGAACCTCACACTCAGCTTCTAATGTAAACCCTATTATAATAGCCCTGGATAGTCCAAGTTGCCTTATCGAACCAAGCTCCATCTCGGCACCCACGTGCACATTCCCCAGTCTCAGCGCCACCCGAACTCCCATTCCCCAGCGAATTGCGGTGCAGTGCGGCTCACATGCCACCACGTTGAGAGGATGCTAGCGCTGCTTCAACATTACTCGCTTACACCTGTCCCTGGCGACGCTTCAGCGACGGGCGACAGCCCCTCGTCTCGACCTCGTCTGGTCGTCCCCATCGCCGCCGTCGTCGAGCGTCGCATAAGCGATCTCGCGCTGCGACTAGCGGTCTACTGAACCTCCGTGCACGTCGCGACGGTATGCCTGTCGCGGCCGCTGGCGTGCCGCCGCCGTGGCACATATCAACTCCCTCCCGCTCTCGCCGTCATATCCCTTCCGTATTCATTCCGCGCCTCTTCTCCGTCCCGCCTACCGAGAGATGATGACCGTTGAACCGGCCGCAATCGCCGCCGCCAAAGGAGCCGCCACTTCACGCGCAACAGCTCGCTCGCCACTTCTCCCCCTCCTTAACCTCCCCCACTTCCTCCGCCGACGCCTCCACCTCTTCCGCTGGCCCCGCTTCCCTGCCTCCCCAAAGCAAGCGGCAGTGACGCCATCGGCGCGCTGCAGCAGCTGCCCGCCGTGTCGCCGGCTGCGGAATCATCGGCACGGCGCTGCGACGCGCCACGCGCGAGCAGAGGTGAGTGCAAGCACGTGCGCGCGAGCAGAGTGGGCTGCCTTGCTTAGTTATGTGGGGCATGTGGGGCATGTGGGGCATGTGGGGCATGTGGGGCATGTGGGGCACGTGGGGCATGTGGGGCATGTGGGGCATGTGGGGCATGTGGGGCACGTGGGGCACGTGGGGCATGTGGGGCATGTGGGGCACGTGGGGCACGTGGGGCATGTGGGGCACGTGGGGCATGTGGGGCATGTGGGGCATGTGGGGCATGTGGGGCATGTGGGGCACGTAGGGCACGTGGGGCATGTGGGGCACGTGGGGCACGTGGGGCACGTGGGGCACGTGGGGCATGTGGGGCATGTGGGGCATGTGGGGCATGTGGGGCATGTGGGGCATGTGGGGCACGTGGGGCACGTGGGGCACGTGGGGCATGTGGGGCACGTGGGGCATGTGGGGCACGTGGGGCATGTGGGGCATGTGGGGCATGTGGGGCATGTGGGGCATGTGGGGCACGTGGGGCACGTGGGGCATGTGGGGCACGTGGGGCATGTGGGGCACGTGGGGCATGTGGGGCATGTGGGGCATGTGGGGCACGTGGGGCACGTGGGGCACGTGGGGCATGTGGGGCATGTGGGGCACGTGGGGCACGTGGGGCACGTGGGGCACGTGGGGCATGTGGGGCACGTGGGGCATGTGGGGCACGTGGGGCATGTGGGGCATGTGGGGCATGTGGGGCATGTGGGGCACGTGGGGCACGTGGGGCATGTGGGGCACGTGTGGGGCATGTGGGGCATGTGGGGCATGTGGGGCATGTGGGGCACGTGGGGCACGTGGGGCATGTGGGGCACGTGGGGCATGTGGGGCATGTGGGGCATGTGGGGCATGTGGGGCACGTGGGGCATGTGGGGCATGTGGGGCATGTGGGGCATGTGGGGCATGTGGGGCATGTGGGGCACGTGGGGCACGTGGGGCACGTGGGGCATGTGGGGCATGTGGGGCACGTGGGGCATGTGGGGCATGTGGGGCATGTGGGGCATGTGGGGCATGTGGGGCATGTGGGGCACGTGGGGCATGTGGGGCATGTGGGGCATGTGGGGCATGTGGGGCATGTGGGGCATGTGGGGCATGTGGGGCATGTGGGGCATGTGGGGCACGTGGGGCACGTGGGGCACGTGGGGCATGTGGGGCATGTGGGGCACGTGGGGCATGTGGGGCATGTGGGGCATGTGGGGCATGTGGGGCATGTGGGGCATGTGGGGCACGTGGGGCACGTGGGGCACGTGGGGCATGTGGGGCATGTGGGGCACGTGGGGCATGTGGGGCATGTGGGGCATGTGGGGCACGTGGGGCACGTGGGGCATGTGGGGCATGTGGGGCACGTGGGGCACGTGGGGCATGTGGGGCATGTGGGGCATGTGGGGCATGTGGGGCATGTGGGGCATGTGGGGCACGTGGGGCATGTGGGGCATGTGGGGCATGTGGGGCATGTGGGGCATGTGGGGCATGTGGGGCATGTGGGGCACGTGGGGCATGTGGGGCATGTGGGGCATGTGGGGCATGTGGGGCATGTGGGGCATGTGGGGCATGTGGGGCATGTGGGGCATGTGGGGCATGTGGGGCATGTGGGGCATGTGGGGCATGTGGGGCATGTGGGGCATGTGGGGCATGTGGGGCATGTGGGGCACGTGGGGCACGTGGGGCACGTGGGGCACGTGGGGCATGTGGGGCATGTGGGGCATGTGGGGCACGTGGGGCATGTGGGCATGTGGGGCATGTGGGCATGTGGGGCATGTGGGGCACGTGGGGCATGTGGGGCATGTGGGGCATGTGGGGCACGTGGGGCATGTGGGGCATGTGGGGCATGTGGGGCATGTGGGGCATGTGGGGCATGTGGGGCACGTGGGGCACGTGGGGCACGTGGGGCATGTGGGGCATGTGGGGCACGTGGGGCATGTGGGGCATGTGGGGCATGTGGGGCATGTGGGGCATGTGGGGCATGTGGGGCATGTGGGGCATGTGGGGCATGTGGGGCATGTGGGGCATGTGGGGCATGTGGGGCATGTGGGGCATGTGGGGCATGTGGGGCATGTGGGGCACGTGGGGCACGTGGGGCACGTGGGGCACGTGGGGCATGTGGGGCATGTGGGGCATGTGGGGCACGTGGGGCATGTGGGGCATGTGGGGCATGTGGGGCACGTGGGGCATGTGGGGCATGTGGGGCATGTGGGGCACGTGGGGCATGTGGGGCACGTGGGGCATGTGGGGCATGTGGGCATGTGGGCATGTGGGGCATGTGGGGCATGTGGGGCATGTGGGGCATGTGGGGCATGTGGGGCATGTGGGGCATGTGGGGCATGTGGGGCACGTGGGGCATGTGGGGCATGTGGGGCATGTGGGGCACGTGGGGCATGTGGGGCATGTGGGGCATGTGGGGCATGTGGGGCATGTGGGGCATGTGGGGCACGTGGGGCACGTGGGGCACGTGGGGCATGTGGGGCATGTGGGGCACGTGGGGCATGTGGGGCATGTGGGGCATGTGGGGCATGTGGGGCATGTGGGGCATGTGGGGCATGTGGGGCATGTGGGGCATGTGGGGCATGTGGGGCATGTGGGGCATGTGGGGCATGTGGGGCATGTGGGGCATGTGGGGCATGTGGGGCACGTGGGGCACGTGGGGCACGTGGGGCACGTGGGGCATGTGGGGCATGTGGGGCATGTGGGGCACGTGGGGCATGTGGGGCATGTGGGCATGTGGGGCATGTGGGGCATGTGGGGCATGTGGGGCATGTGGGGCACGTGGGGCACGTGGGGCACGTGGGGCACGTGGGGCATGTGGGGCATGTGGGGCACGTGGGGCATGTGGGGCATGTGGGGCATGTGGGGCATGTGGGGCATGTGGGGCATGTGGGGCACGTGGGGCACGTGGGGCACGTGGGGCATGTGGGGCATGTGGGGCACGTGGGGCATGTGGGGCATGTGGGGCATGTGGGGCACGTGGGGCACGTGGGGCATGTGGGGCATGTGGGGCACGTGGGGCACGTGGGGCATGTGGGGCATGTGGGGCATGTGGGGCATGTGGGGCATGTGGGGCATGTGGGGCACGTGGGGCATGTGGGGCATGTGGGGCATGTGGGGCATGTGGGGCATGTGGGGCATGTGGGGCATGTGGGGCACGTGGGGCATGTGGGGCATGTGGGGCATGTGGGGCATGTGGGGCATGTGGGGCATGTGGGGCATGTGGGGCATGTGGGGCATGTGGGGCATGTGGGGCATGTGGGGCATGTGGGGCATGTGGGGCATGTGGGCATGTGGGGCATGTGGGGCACGTGGGGCATGTGGGGCATGTGGGGCATGTGGGGCACGTGGGGCATGTGGGGCATGTGGGGCATGTGGGGCATGTGGGGCATGTGGGGCATGTGGGGCACGTGGGGCACGTGGGGCACGTGGGGCATGTGGGGCATGTGGGGCACGTGGGGCATGTGGGGCATGTGGGGCATGTGGGGCATGTGGGGCATGTGGGGCATGTGGGGCATGTGGGGCATGTGGGGCATGTGGGGCATGTGGGGCATGTGGGGCATGTGGGGCATGTGGGGCATGTGGGGCATGTGGGGCATGTGGGGCACGTGGGGCACGTGGGGCACGTGGGGCACGTGGGGCATGTGGGGCATGTGGGGCATGTGGGGCACGTGGGGCATGTGGGGCATGTGGGGCATGTGGGGCATGTGGGGCATGTGGGGCATGTGGGGCACGTGGGGCACGTGGGGCACGTGGGGCACGTGGGGCATGTGGGGCATGTGGGGCACGTGGGGCATGTGGTCGGGGTCCGTAGCAGCTTCGGTAATTTCGTGCGCGAGAGTTGAAATGGTGGCGTCAATAGCGGGGTTGCCATTGGGGGAGGTGCTCTTTATGCCACACGCGTTGGGGCACTGGGCGTGGTGACCCACGAACGCGTAGTATAACGGGGATGATCCGATATAGTCGACCGTGTGCCACCCGCAGTATTGGCTGCAGAAGCCCGAAGATAGAGTCACGTCCTTGCTCGATATAAGAACGTAAATCCCGTGCGGGTCGTACGCGAAGGCCTTGCCATATCCGATCTTGCCTTTCACGACTGCGATGGAAACGTCAGGATTTGCATGAAGAACAAAGTTTAGTCGAAGCTTAACACTCTCATAAAATGGTGAAAGCACACAGTAGGAAGCGAGACGACGGCGTAACAGCGTTCAAAAGGCGACAAGAAATCCGGGGAAGACGGCATCCAGAGAGGAAGAACTTGTGCAAACACCAATGGAATGCCCCCCTACCCCCTTCACATCCCTGTGAAGCACTACGTGGCAGGCATCAAACAACGAACCCTTTCTAGCACGACTTTCTGAGGCGGCTCACAAGCAAGGTCAGGGAGGAAGGGCTTACTGGAGACCACGTTGCTGTCGGTGAGAGCCTTGCCGTACGAGTAATTGTCGTACGTCGTCCCCGCGAGCCGCACCATGGAGCTCACGTTCTTCTTCACCATCCAGCTCGACTGATAGTAGTTCGACGTGATCGCCCACCACCCCTTCACCGTAGGGTCGCTCGACGAGCCCTGCGCGCCCGAGTCGCTACTTAAAGACCTAACGAAGTTGTCGATGTAATCCTGCCCGGACCCGGACGGCCAGCTGCCGTAGTAGATATGGTAGATGTTCACCGTCGGGTTGCCTGCGACGATAGGACCTCCACTGTACTTAATGGGCCCGCCGGTCGCGGCGGGAGTTACGACGCCTCGATGGCGCTTCGCGTGGGCTTGAACATTCAGAGCGGTTTTTTTTGGCCGACGAGGTGCGGCTGACGAGAGGACGGCGTGGGAGACGAGAAGCAGGAGGAGAAAGGGGAGCAGACGAGTCGCGGCCATCGTGGCTATGCGGAAAGCGTGGGAGGTGGCGGAGAAGAGCGGTACTAGGGCGATGGGAGGAGACGAGGAACGGGTGATCGGGTGGAACGATGAGTCTCGAGTGCGTAGAGTGAGGATCGGCGGGGAATAAGTTCGGTTGGCTGCGGAGAGGATTAGCGGCGAATTCGAAGGAGCTTGGGAATGCTTGGTCTCTAAGCAGTGTACATGCTGTGAGGTATAGAAGCAATGGCCAAGAGATCTCAAGCTCAGCCTAGGCATCAATCTGAGCGAGGTGAGTGGGGATGTGTCGCTTTATGATCGATCACGCCTCGATCATCAACATGCGACGCGACTCCAACTGTCAAAGTATATGCATGTTATATATGTGTAGGCTGTAGTGGGGTAGCCAATATGGGGTACAGCCCCTTTTAGGGTTTCATACTTGTACCCAACTCTTTCATAGTTCATTCATTCCTGTCTCTAGATTCTGACATGGTTTCAGAGCAATAGGTCCGTAGGACCGTTTTTTTTTCGGGCCCACCTACCGCTACCCCACGACTGTGACTGTGACTGTGCCTGTGACGTGCTGCGCTGCGCGCGCCGTCTGCCTGCTGCCTACTGTCTGCTGACTGCGCGGTCTGCTGCTGCTTAGAGCGCGCAGACCTGATTCCTGCGCGCGGCTCGATTTTTGCCCCGCGCGTCGCCCACGCTGCCCGAGTCGCGCCTCGGCAGCCCGCGCGCGGCTCACTGCTGCTCCGCGCGCCGCGTTCGCAGCCCGCGCGGCTTGCTGCGGCCCCGCGTGTCGAGTCCGCTGCCCGCGAGTCGCGCTGCAGCCCCGCGCGTCGCGACCGCTGCTCGTGCGTCGCGCTGCAGCCCCGCGTGCCGCGGCTGCCATCCTCGCGCAGCCCGCTGCGGCTTCGCGCGCCGCGCCCGCTGCAGCCCCGCGCGCCGCGGCTGCCCCTGTTCGACGCGCCCCCCCTTTGGACGCCGCCCCTGCCTGACTGCCGCCGTCGCTTCTGCAGCAGCTGCCGTGGAGCGCCCTGCCACGGTCGCGGCCCCGCCCTGCAGAAGCTGCCGCGGAGCCTCCTGCTGCTGTCACGGCCCCACCCTGCAGCAGTCCTCGCGGCCCCACCCTGCAGCAGTCCTCACGGCCCCGCCCTGCAGCAGCTGTCGCGGACCTGCTCTACCGCCGACGCGGCCCTGCTCTGCCGCAGCTGTCGCGGCCCCGCCGTCGCCGCCGTCGTGTGCCTACCCGGCCGCCGCCCGCCGAGCGCCGGCCCTGCTTGCCCGGCGAGCGCCTGCCCTTCCCGCCACTGGTGAGCACCTACCTTGTTCGCGCGCTGCCGCGTCATCTGCCTGCCTGTCTGCCTGCCTGCCTGCCTGCCTGCCTGCCTGACTGCCTACCTGCCGCACCTGCCCTGCCCGCACTGTTACTGCTGCTAGGCTGCTGCTGCTGCTACTGCTGCCGCTTCTGCTACTGCTGCCACTTCTGCTACTGCTGCCACTTCTGCTACTGCTGCTACTGGCGGTGGCCAGATGCAGCTCTAGCGACGTCCACGCGAGTCTCTCCCGCCCCAGCAGCTTCGTGAGTGGTACGCTAGTTGGGGTTGTGGCGGTAGCCGTCGTAGCTGTCGCCCTGGAGCTGGTCAGTTGGGAGCGTCTAGCAGTGGCCAGCTGCAGCTGCAGCGGCGTCCACGCGAGACACTTACGTCCCAGCAGCTTCACGAGTGGTACGCTCAGAGTAGAGGGTCTCGGAGTACCGTTCGCTGCCCGTACGTCATTCGCACAGGTGATCGGGCTGGTCAGGCTTGCGGGACACTTGGTCACACACAGTCCCGCTGCTTCGCCCGTCTGAGCGACGCCTGGCGTACCGAGTTTGGCGACGAGGCTGAGCTCCCCACCTGGCTGGAGCTGCTTGGGCAGAGGGTAGATGTCTTTGCTCTTGACTATGATGCTATTCTCACTGCCATGTATGCATTGCCTACTAGTGCTGACCGTGCCTGTTACCTGTGCGTACCGCCTGACCCAGGTATAGAGCCTGCTGCTCTAAGTGCTGGTGAGGCTGCTGCTCTAGGTGCTAGTGCGTCTCCTGCTCTAGGTGCTGGTGAGGCTTCTGCTCCAGGTGCTGGTGAGTCTGCTCTCACTGGTACTGCGACTGCTGAGGCCTTGTACACCTGCACACTTGACTCAGGTGCTTCTCGCTCCTTCTTTCGCGACAGCACCACCCTCACGCCGCTCCGTCGGCCGGTTGCAGTCTCCCTGGCAGACCCCTCTGGGGGTCCAGTCCTTGCGCACTCCTCCACGGTCCTGCCGTGTCCGGCAGTACCGTCTGGCTCCCTGTTAGGTCTTCACCTCCCCTCGTTCTCTACGAACTTGGTGAGTGGTGCTGACCTCCAGGACCAGTGGGTTGACCACTTCACTCCTGGAGGTCATCGCGTGACCCACTGTACGTGCTCCCAGACGGGCCGGCACCTGGCCACGTTTACCCATGCGTGAGGTCTGTACACACTGACTACTGTGTCCCCTCAGGTCGCTGCGTCTGCGTCTGCGTCAGGTCAGCTAGCGGCCCCCTGCTCGTGTCGCGCTTTGTCGCACCAGACCCTCCTTTGGCACCACCGCCTTGGTCACCCCTCGGTGCAGCGCCTTCGTGTCAGAAGAACACTAGTAGTAGGGCCTAGGCTTAGTAGCCTAGGCCACAGTAGGACTAGTAACGAGGAGCCAAGTACGAGCTAGGAATGTGTGTAGGAACAGAATTGAGAAGGGAATGATTGAACAAGCAAGCAGCAGGATACAAATAGCAAACCCTAAGGGGCTGTACTCACTATAGAGTACCCCACTGCAGGCTACACAAACAACATATTCTGACACACCCCCATAGCCAAAGTGGGGTGTAATCAGCACAATGAGCAGTCATAGCAATAGTTCATAATTATCAGCAAAGCTAGAGGCTATCACAGAGGGCAAGTGAGGAGGAGGAGGGACTATGAAAGGAGAGAAGATGGGAGGCGACGACTGAAGCTGCAGACACACGGGCAACAGAAGCGGCTGACACAGTGGCGGCTGACACAGTGGCTACCGAGACAGAGCGCCCCGGAATACTGGAGTAACTGGCTCTGCGGCTACGACGAGCGGCAGAAGCAACGGACCCACGGGCGACTGGTGCAGCAGGCTCTCAGTGGCTACCGAGACAGTGCGTCCCGGAATACAGGATTAACAGGCTCTGCGGCTGCGACGAGCGGCAGGAGCAACGGACCCACGGGCAACAGGTGCAGCAGGCTCTCTGAGCTACTAGGACAGTGCGCCCCGGACTACAGGTGCTGCGGACGACAAGACAGCAGCCTCCACTCAACCTCCCCCAACAGTCCCACACCCCTCTCACACACCCCCCGCTTCACCCCTAGCTCCACTCCCACATCACCCCCCTAGTGCCACTCCCCACGACTCCCACACCTCCACCCCCCTCAGCGGCAGCTGCAGTAGTGGGAGACGAAAAAGGAGGAGGGGAGAACCCACACCTCTCACCCCCATGCTCGCCACCCCACACCCCAGCCACCGCGGAACGCACGGTGGAATGGGAGCAATGGGCAGCACGGGGGGGGGGGGGGGGGGGGGGGGGGGACGGGGCGGGCTTCTGCAGAGGCGGCTCGCGCGGGTCCTGGGGCGGCTGCTGCAGGTGCGGGCTGCTCCAGGGGCGGCTGCTGCAGGTGCGGGCTGCTCCAGGGGCGGCTGCTGCAGGTGCGGGCTGCTCCAGGGGCGGCTGCTGCAGGTGCGGGCTGCTCCAGGGGCGGCTGCTGCAGGTGCGGGCTGCTCCAGGGGCGGCTGCTGCAGTGGCGGGCGGCTCCAGGGGCTGCTGCTGCAGTGGCGGGCGGCTCCAGGGGCTGCTGCTGCAGTGGCGGGCGGCTCCAGGGGCGGCCGCCGCAGTTGAAAGGCAGAAGGGGGGGGGGGGGAAAACGCACGGCCCCCAGGGCGCCCCGAGGGGCGACGAGAAGGGAGCCGCGCGGCCCCCCCCCCGGGGCGCCGCGACGGGCACCAGGGAGGGCGCCGCGACGAGCCCCCAGAGCCGCCTCGACGGGCAATGGGGAGGGTGCCGCGCGGGCCCCCCGAAGTCGCCTCGACGGGCGACGGGGAGGGCGCCGCGCGGGCCCCCCGAAGTCGCCTCGACGGGCGACGGGGAGGGCCGCGCACGGCCCCCGAAGTCGCCTCGACGGGCGACGGGAGGGGACCGCGCGCGGCCCCCGTGGTCGCCACGACGGGCGACTGGTGGGGAGGCCGCGCGGGCCCCCAAGGTCGCCTCGACGGGCGACGGGAGGGGAGGCCGCGCGGGTCCCCGAGGTCGCCTCGACGGGCGACGGGAGGGGAGGCCGCGCGGGTCCCCGAGAGCGCCTCGACGGGCGCTTCGACGGGAGGGGACCGCGGAGGCCCCCCCAAGGGCACCACGACGGGCGCCACGGAAGGGAAAACCGCCAGGCGCCCCGAGCGCGCGGCGGGCAGAAATTAGGGTTTCGCCGCCGCGCACCACGGGGCGCGCGGCGGACAGTACGGCAGCGGAAGCGGGTGGTGGGCCCATACACAGGAAGGCGGCAGACATGCCACCCTCTGATACCATGTCAGAAGAACACTAGTAGTAGGGCCTAGGCTTAGTAGCCTAGGCCACAGTAGGACTAGTAACGAGGAGCCAAGTACGAGCTAGGAATGTGTGTAGGAACAGAATTGAGAAGGGAATGATTGAACAAGCAAGCAGCAGGATACAAATAGCAAACCCTAAGGGGCTGTACTCACTATAGAGTACCCCACTGCAGGCTACACAAACAACATATTCTGACACTTCGTAGCATGCACCGCCGTTTCCTTGTCTCTGGACTTCCAGAGACTCTGCCTCCTCTACCACCCTCGCCTGCTCCTCCCTGTCTTCCCTGTGTCGAGGGGCGGCAGCGCGCCGCTCCTCACTCCTCCTCGTTTCCCCCGACGACTGCTCCCCTGCAGACCCTGCACATGGACGTGTGGGGCCCTGCCCGCGTCCG